GGGGGCGGGAGGGGGGTTCTCGCAGTGATTTCCTAAATTAAGCTTCATTACGCACTTCGGCCCCTGTTTCTGAGAAAAAGGCTTTTGTTTTTTACTTAGACAGCTAAAAGCGGGAGGTTATTGTATTTTAAAAGTCGAATTTGTGACATTCCCAAAGAGCTAACAATGGAATATTGTTTTGTAGTTTACATATCAGAGTAGTTTGTTTCCAACAACAGAAGTGAAAAACATCATTTAGATGAGCACAGTTTGCTTCGGGGAAAAATTTCAAAAATAGACAATCGTCCTTTTTGGTAAATATCGTGTATTATTCGTACATGTAGATACATAGCAGCTTTTTTCGACTTGAGCCATTTTGTAAAGCGGATTTGTCAAACGGATCCCTGAGAATTTTTTAAACAGAAACTTACGCCGCGATGATTCATAGATGCAGTGGACAAATTCAATTATCGTATTTTCTATTGTCTTTCTTTCTCACAACACCTTCTCGTCAATATAGGCTGCAGTAACCTATGATTGATTCTTACTCCTACTACACGACATATCGTGTTGTTTCATAGATCCTAGTTTAGTTCAATCTTATGAAAATTTATGAAAATCCAAAGAATATTAAGTAGTATTTATTTAATAAGTCATTGATTTCTTATTTCTTTATTATTAGTCTTTAAGATCACAGCGCATTTGTACATCTTTGATAACAAATATATGTAGGTCCATGAAGAAGGGGTATTGTAAGTTTTGTTCACAATAATTAATACAGTGATATATATCTTTATCTATATCTATATTTTCATTACAGAGAAATTCAACCACAACCACGGAGTGTATGCAGGAATGTGGCAGAGAGCACTGTCTGGATGGCACCTTCGTCAATAAGACCAAAACATGCTTCACTAGGTTCAACAACACACGTGAGTAGTGCGCTGTTATTAATTAATTAATTAATTAATTAATTAATAATTACTTTGTGAACAATAAGAAGAAATTCTGTCTTTATTTATCCATCTATTAATCTATCCATTCATTAATTTGTTAAGTTGCTTTTAATTAAGGTATCGGGGATTGCGAGAACATAGGAACAGTCAATATTCAGCATTGGACGTACTCCGTAGGTTGGGCTTCCGGCGTTAATAACGCGAAGATACTGGTGAGTTCAATTGGCTAGTCTAATAAACGTCACAATCAAAATTTTCTTGGATGGATTTGACAATCCACAGTGTGCTAAGTGGCCGAGCCATTCCTATTAGGTGGCACGCGGTCTTTTAAAGTATCCTATATTCGGGAATTTCTCACCAAATCGAACTTTTCTTGAAAACTAAACTTTATTTCCAACTCGAACCGTCCCTGGACTTGGATTCGATGTTCCATGCCGTTTCAAATTAAATAATTGAGTTCTAAATGACTTGCAAGTAACTTAGAAACATTACTAATTATTTTCACGACACGCTTACGTGTGAGACGCAATTAAATGCAGTTAACTCCCTTCCCCAAGTCATTTGTTAAATCTTTCACCCACCCTTGAACAACTTAACTTTATTTTACTAGCACGTCGACTACGAGAAGATATACGATTTCACCGGATTGAGGGTGCGCTTTGCAGGCAATTTACGTTCAGGAACCTCAGCGAATCACGGCTCGGAATTTTATTTCAAATTCAATGATGCCCGGTGCACTTCACCCCACGACATTGACTACATTCACTGGGACAAGCGCGGCGCTAATCACCACATCCATGGAGAATGTACGTACTTTACTAATAGCTTTAATAGTTATCCCCGCCAAGGAGGTTATGTTTTCACTCTGTTTGTCATCAACATAACTCAAAAAGTTATAGACCGATTTTGATGAAATTTTCAGGAACTGTCAGAAGTGGGCCAAGGATGAGATGATTAGTTGGTGGTGATCCGGATCAACAATCAATCAATAATCAATAATCAATAATAATCAAAAATCGCTGCCTTGGCGAAGGTCTGCGCTCTCGGAGTGCATTTCTAGTTTTAATATGTTATATGCCGTCTAATGCTTCTATAATTTAATTTTTATCTTCTGTTGCGCCTTTACTCTTAATTCCGTTATTTCTATCCTCCTGTTTTTTTTTTTCTCAGTCTTTGACCATTTCATAAAGTTAACACAAGTTTTCTCAAGTAGCGCTATATCTTAGCAATACAACTTTACCGGTACGCTTTGTTCTAACATGTTATTAGGCTATTGGACTCCCTTTTGCAAGTTAAGCAGAAGTTAGTTGAGTCGTGTCTGGGGTCTTTGTTTGTGTTACTTTTTCGCATAATCTTGCCAGGCTATTCAGTTTTTAATCTCTCGAAACATACAGGTACATCCGTACAGCTAAGATATAACNGATCCTCTAGATTTTTCATTAGTATTTTTACTTACTCCAGACATTAACCACTTCCTCTTCCCATCGCTTCGGAGCATTCACGATCTTGGCCATGACAAACCGCACGAGTGCTGCCACCTTTTGGAACATTCTTTTATTTCCAAATATTTCACGATGTGCTGTCAGGGCACTAATGACTACATTAAATGGTTGAGGACAAGGACCACCGACGATATGGTCAAAGTTTACCAGTTACACAAGCTACAACTTCAATTGATTCTAGGGTCCAGATCAAGTACGTTTTTGAAATATATTATTTTTACTTTATTACTTTTACTTTATTCAAGGAAAAGCGATTTAGTGAATAGCATGAAAGAACAGCTAATATTATCCTAAACGAGTTGGTAGTAATCTTTTATTAAAAGGTCAAATGAAGTGAATGAATACCCTAGAATAAATCATTTCTAAAAGGCGTTTTTGAACATAGTGAAATAATATTATTAAATGAAATTAAGTTTGTTTTCCTTTTCAAGGTCCAACGACACCACAACAGAGACTTGTGTTAAAAGATTCCATCCACTGTTCAAACGTAGAGGCGCTGTTGACGGTTTATCCAGACGCAATTTTCGTGCACACCTATCGCAATCCAGTCACAACCGTGGCATCCGGGTGTTCCATGGCGGAGACCTTTCGTAACTTTTACTGTAAAAATGGTGGAATCAACTTCAAAAGGCTTGGTCACCAAATGTTAACTACCCCTTTGTTCAACGGTGGTAACGAGCTTGTAAGGTATAGAAAGAGTCACCCCGAACACGAAGATAAATTCTTTGACGTACAATACCAAGAGCTTGAAGACGACCCGATTAGTGTCTTGAAGTCGGTGTATGAAAGAGTAGGGGTCAAAATGACAGATGACACCTTGCGGAACTTAGAAGCATATGTGAAGGAACATCCTCGACACAAGTATGGCGTACATAGGTACAACCTTGAAAAGTATGGGATTTCTGAAAGCGACGTTCGAGAATATTTTAAAGAGTACATTCAATACTTTGAAAAGTAGTTTTTTTCCTAATGAAGAGTGTCTGGAACATAAGCAGGGTTTGATAGCTGAATTATAAATATTATTTTTCAAAAAGAGTTATTTAATCTGTAGTAATGCTGTTTCTACGATATTTTTTTCTATTTATTTTTCTTCATATAACGTTTTTTAAATGACGAATGCCAGTTAACTAAGGATAAGGCGGAATAGACTTAGTCGTATGACAAGCATTTACATTAGAAGATAGGCCTACACTTATTATGAATGATCATGACACATCACGGTAGAAAGTTTATCAGCTCAGAAGTGGGAATAACTTAGTTGGAATTTATACATAATGTACTGGCGAAGAATAAATTTCGTGATCACAAAGTGATCTAACATTGGCTTGCCAATATAAGATTCATCTATTTGAATTAATTATTAGTATATTTATTTTTATAATGATATAAGTACATATATTATTATCGAGTAAATAATCTGGCAACCCTTCATTGGTTGCCAGATTATTATCGAGTAAATAATCTGGCAACCAATGAAGGGTTGAATGAATAGGCAGATAAAATCTACTTGCTGATATATATTAAAATATTGATAAATATTAAAGCCCGAGATAACATTCCATTTTATTCATTAAAGCAATTTAAACAACTGAATGTTTTAAAAGTTAACCGGTCGGCTTTGAAACTTGTATGTTGTACTTGTTATAATGCCTCCCATTGTTTTTTAATGTTTTGGTCTTTTGAATGTTCAGATATTTGTAGTGAATATTTAACAATTTATCTTGTTCCTTGAAGGTAACGTCACAATTACGTCAATAAAGATTTTTGTTCTAGCACATATATGGCAGTCGTTTTAAGTATCAACTTGAATTGTAATTTGATAATTATGGTACTTTTGCAAACGCAAGCGACTGCAATAAATCATTATTACAATGATCAAGATGTCAGTGTGTGTGTGTGTGTGTGTGTGTTCGTGTTTGTGTGTGTGTGTTCGTGTTTGTGTGTGTGAATGAGTGATGTAGAGTGATCCATTATTCAATCAAGATTTTCAATTGCCTGATGCTTGCTATGGTAACAATCTGAACGGTTATCTACGTACCAATGTAGGCTACTTATTACATGGGTAGCGTTGTAAAGTTATCTGCCATCTACATGAAGTCTCCACGTTTATCGACCGACAACCCCGTTTATTAGTGGGATTGTAGTTTGCGGAGGAAATTAGATTAGTTTGCTAGGGTGGCAATTTCCCTATTGCAGAGCCTTTCTTTTACCGGACTAAAGCTTAGGTTATTCATCTTCCAAAATAGTGTTTTTGTAGAACTTGGATTTAAATGGGCTTTGCCAATAAGCGCTTAAAATATATTGATCAGTGCAAACAAACATTCAAATGGCCTGTGTATACAATTTTCGATTTTCCGGTTGCTCTTTCTTCTAAGTAATTCGTTAAAGCATGGAAAATAGTGGAAAACTCTGCTCAGATTGAGACATATCTGAATGTTAACGTTACAGCTGCCCGTGGTTCAACCACAGAAAAAGTAAAGAACGTTACTTGCTGCCTTAATCCTACGCACTGCAAACAAATTAGGTACTGTGCTTCCTTTATCAAGGGTTATTAAGTAAAGGCGTCTTTCCGTATTCGTAAAACATTTTTATCGTTATACTGTTCTTTTGGGTGTCCATTAACCTTTAATGTATTCACTTGCATTCAACGGCTAATAAAAAGCATTACCATGTACATCCAGGGTCAATACTATAAATTTGATACACGCCACTTTCTCCATGGTCACTAATGGACAGGAAGTATCGCTCAATACAAAAGGCCAAGTCTGAAAATATCTCTTTAATTCCATTGATCTCATTGAGCTTTTTATTACACTGATATTATGACTCAGATTTGTAAAAGCGCACGTGTGATTTTGTCCTTTTTAGAGTGCCGTATGCGAGAGCCTCTTTAAACAGCGACCGATACAAATCCCATTAGATAAACCGAAAACTAAATGGAATATATGTCTCGAATCACACACATTGATTTTTAGCAACAACAAACTTATAATGACATTGGGCGATACTGATACTTCATTCTCTGTCTCGCAACGATCACAGTTCAGCGCAGTAAATAATACAATTTCGCATCTGTGTATTAAATATATGTGCACATTTATCATGTATTTGAAGTAGCTTTAAAAGATTTCATCTGCTGTAAGTTTATATACTGGAAGCTTATATACTGGCAAATTAGTCTCAAAGGCACTGATTTGATGCTTCTCAACACACCGCTGGCGTTCTTGACATAATAAAAAACATGGATGAGCGTTTGGCCGATTTGGCGATTGTCGCCTTTGCGACGTTTATTCTTGTGGAGGCTGGAAGCGACCGATTTTGCCAAACATTTGGAGAGCACATTTACTGCCAGGTAAGTATTGAAAATCCTGGGGGGGGGGGGGGGGGGGTTTCTCGCGGTGATTTCCTAAATTAAGCTTCATTACGCACCTCGGCCCCTGTTTCTGAGAAAAAGGCTTTTGTTTTCACTTAGACAGCTAAAAGCGGGAGGTTATTGTATTTTACATTGTTTTTTAATTTGAACTTTAATTCGAATTTGTGACATTGCCAAAGAGTGTTTTACGAACGATTAGATAACAATGGAATATTGTTTTGTAGTTTATATATCGGAGTAGTTTGTTTCCAACAACAGAAGTGAAAAACATCATTTAGATGAGAACAGTTTGCTTCGGGGATCAATTTCAAAAACAGACAATCGTCCCGTTTGGTAGATATCGTGTATTACTCGTACATGTAGATACATAGCAGCCTTTTTCGACTTGAGCCATTTTGTAAAGCGGATTTGTCAAACGGATCCCTGAGAATTCTTAAACAGAAACTTACGCCGCGATGATTCATAGATGCAGTGGACAAATTCAATTATCGTATTTTCTATTGTCTTTCTTTCTCACAACACCTTCTCGTCAATATAGGCTGCAGTAACCTATGATTGATTCTAACTCCTACTACACGACATATCGTGTTGTTTCATAGATCCTAGTTTAGTTCAATCTTATGAAAATTTATGAAAATCTAAGGAATGTTAAGTAGTATTTATTTAATAAGTCATTGATTTCTTTTTTCTTTATTATTAGTCTTTAAGATCACAGCGCATTTGTACATCTTTGATAACAAATATATGTAGGTCCATGAAGAAGGGGTATTGTAAGTTTTGTTCACAATAATTAATACAGTGATATATATCTTTATCTATATCTATATTTTCATTACAGAGAAATTCAACCACAACCACGGAGTGTATGCAGGAATGTGGCAAAGAGCACTGTCTAGATGGCACGTTCGTCAATAAGACCAAAACATGCTTCACTAGGTTCAACAACACACGTGAGTAGTGCGCTGTTATTTATTAATTAATTAATAATTACTTTGTGAACAATAAGAAGAAATTATGTCTTTATTCATCTCAATCTATCAATCTGTTCATTCATTAATTTGCCAAGTTGCTTTAATTAAGGTATCGGGGATTGCGAGAACATAGGAACAGTCAATATTCAACATTGGACGTACTCCGTAGGTTGGGTTTCCGGCGTTAATAACGCGAAGATACTGGTGAGTTCAATTGGCTAGTCCAATAAACGTCCCAATCAAAATTTTCTTGGATGGATTTGACAATCCACAGTGTGCTAAGTGGCCGAGCCACTCCTATTAGGTGGCACGCGGTCTTTAAAAGTATCCTATATTCGGGAATTTCTCACCAAATCGAACTTTTCTTGAAAACTAAACATTTTTTCCAATTCGAACCGTCCCTGGACTTGGATTCGATGTTCCATGCCGTTTCAAATTAAATAATTGAGTTCTAAATGACTTGCAAGTAACTTAGAAACATTACTAATTATTTTCACGACACGCTTACGTATGAGACGCAATTAAATGCAGTTAACTCCCCTCCCCGAGTCATTTGTTAAATCTTTCACCCACCCTTGAACAACTTAACTTTATTTTACTAGCATGTCGACTACGAGAAGATATACGATTTCACCGGATTGAGGGTGCGCTTTGCAGGCAATTTACGTTCAGGAACCTCAGCGAATCACGGCTCGGAATTTTATTTCAAATTCAATGATGCCCGGTGCACTTCACCCCACGACATTGACTACATTCACTGGGACAAGCGCGGCGCTAATCACCACATCCATGGAGAATGTACGTACTTTACTATTAGCTTTAATAGTTATCCCCGCCAAGGAGGTTATGTTTTCACTCTGTTTGTCATCAACCTAACTCAAAAAGTTATAGACCGATTTTGATGAAATTTTCAGGAACTGTCAGAAGTGGGCCAAGGATGAGATGATTAGTTGGTGGTGATCTGGATCAATAATCAATCAATAATCAATAATAATAAAAAATCGCTGCCTTGGCCAAGGTCTGCGCTCTCGGAGTGCTTTTCTAGTTTTAGTATGTTATATGCCGTCTAATGCTTCTATAATTTATTTCTTCTTCTGTTGCACCTTTACTCTTAATTCCGTTATTTCTATCCTCCTGTTTTTTTCTCAGTCTTTGACCATTTCATAAAGTTAACACAAGTTTTCTCAAGTAGCGCTATATCTTAGCAAAACAACTGTACCGGTACGCTTTGTTCTAACATGTTATTAGGCTATTGGACTCCCTTTTGCAAGTTAAGCAGAAGTTAGTTGAGTCGTGTCTGGGGTCTTTGTTTGTGTTACTTTTTCGCATAATCTTGCCAGGCTATTCAGTTTTTAATCTCTCGAAACATACAGGTACATCCGTACAGCTAAGATATTACGTTTGATTTGAAAATGTATTATTTTCAGTTGAAGGTATATGTGAGAATCTCCCAGCCGGCTCGATAAGGATCAAGTTCATGGTAACCCAACTGCCCGGCCGCAGTAACGATGCCTATACTGGTTGGAGTGAAGAAGACAGCTTGACAGTCGAGGAAGTGGACATGAGAGGCAACACAAGTAACTGAGAATCCGTTCTCTTCAATTTTCACCTGAACACGGTGTAGTTACTTAAACGTTCCGTGATAAACCGGGGTCACAGATTGATTTTTTTCCTCTAGATTTTTTTATTTTTTATTTTGAAAACTTATCAGTCCTTTTAATATACACGTTTCAGTACAATATAACAATACTGTTTCATTGAAGAAAATCGAAAGCGGTCGAGGCAAGATCGCGTGGACAAAGCTGTTCTGCTTTGTGTATAATTTTTTCAGACAAGTGCGCAAACTCGTATGAGAGAGAGAGAGAGAGAGCAGTCTGTTATGTTTGTGTTTTGGAAATAAATATAACTAAACTATTTTCTTTATAGCACCATGCGCTCACTTGAATACACTCAATGTTAAACAACATTCCATTGAATCAATGGCAGATGAAACTAACAACGGGACCTTGAATGCTACGGTAAGCCTGTTACTATTCTATTTACAGGTAAAGAGGTTTTAGAAAAGAATACCTGAACCGAAATTGTGTGAGAGATAAATATAGTATTATAATTATATATTTGGTCATAGACCGCCCACTTTTTACTTGCTTTTGCCCATTAAATTGAAGAAAAAAATGGTCAGTACGTTTTCATGACAAGATTTTATGACTCGTTGCATTTGCCTTTCTAAATTTTATTGCTCTTTTAGCTTGGCTGGTGTGACAACCGTACAATTTGATTATAGAGAAATCAATTTTCCTTTATTCTCATGATCTTAACTTCTAGTTGGCGGCTTAGGGTTCATTCGCAATCTTTCTATCGATCCGACTCCGACCCAGTTGAATACTTCCCCACGGGGAATCTATTCAATGTCTTTTAGCTTTTGGGTGGGTCGCCATATTTGACCCGCGGACTAGTTAGTCCACTGTTCTGAAGGCAGCCTTATATACCAGAAGTTCTCTGACTGTTCAGTGTACCTCAGTTGTACATATATTTTTTAATATAGAATATATAATATTCAATTATTTATGCCACGTTTTTCTATGTTAAGGTGTTTACGTTCACTAAAGAGGCCCATGATACAGCAATTAGACTTCGATGGATAGGTTCTCTTTTTGGCAAGAAGAGCGCAGAAGGACCCGCCTGCTTAAGGTT